AGCACAGATAATGCAGAATGCACTCTGATTATTTAGCCTGTCTTTTCCTTTCCTCTCTTTCCTAGGCAGTCTGGCTCTGCCTTAAAAACTGCCTTCCACAGAACTGCAAGAGGAAAGCTTATCATGTCCCCACAGAGCTGTGAAAGGTGACCTGTTGAATGGCTGCCTGTTGTTCAGCTGTGAAAGGTGTAGGAGGCGTCTTTTGGGGAGGTGAGGAAGGTGGCACGTTTCCTGGTGGGAATATTTGGGTGGTTGTGTTGGCAGGCAGCATCTGGGAGGCCGACTTCACCAACACACACTGACGCATTATCTTGACAATGCGCTGATACCAGATGGTTTCTTTCCAAAATGGTGCTTCAATTAGCTCCCAAAATGCCCCTAGAACAGCCAGTTTCAGGTATTTTTTTGGAATAAATATACACATTCTGTCTTTTTGCTCTGTGTGTGAGCATGTCTGAGTCAATAAACAGAAAAAGAGGAAATATCAGGTTGCCTGTGCAGTGGCTTTTATAGCAAAGACTGGCTATCAGTGGCAGTGTGGTAAAAATAAGGCAACAGGTGAGTGAGCAGCTACAGCTACGCGACTGAGCCAGTGTACTCATGGACTAGCAGCTTGCATCCATGAATTGGCGAGGCTGTTTGACCAACTGATAAAACTGTAGTTCTCTTCCAGTTGGTCTGAAAAGCTCCACTGAACCTCAGATTCTGCCCTGTACGGAGTAATCTGTTTCCTGAGTGGGGCCATGGACGTTTTCCCCAAATCCCAGCCCTAATAGGAACTTAGAAATTCCAGACGGGCATCTGGCATCATAAGCAAGGCTGAGAAGGGACTTTTCAGGGTGTTTGTGGAAGAGAGACTCACCTCTAAATAAGGGACACCAGGTCTTACGTGCAACCAGCTAATGTGAAGCTAATCACGCCTGCCATTTAGCAAACCCGATTTAATCTTGGCCAGCTGTTCGTTCTCTGAGCTGGGAGCACAGGCTGTTGCTCACTGGCACATCCCTTGAAAAGCACAGATCATGAGCGCCATCCGATTAGCTGGCTGGTAGGGCAAGAACCGTAGACTCGAGCAGGACTGCCTCCTTCTCCCACCCCTCTCCCTCCCCAGGACTCTGTGCCAGGGCTGCATCCTGGCATGCTTCGAAGTGGGGGGGCATGTTCATTTTGTTAATAAGGCACAGGCTAATTACCCAGTTTTGTGCCAGACAGAAGGGGCAGCTCTTTCCCTTTTATTATTTGACTGGAGGCAAAGAAGGTGAGATTAAAGGAAATAAGAGATTAGAGGATTCGTTGTTACACATACCCCATGCCTCCCACTGGCTCCATGGGGCTTTTGCATGGATTAAATAGATTGACAGTGGAAGGTAGGCCAAACCTATGGCATTTAGCCTTGGAAGCAGAATGGAACCTCCATGGACTGGAGGCAGTCTACCCGTGAATATTGTAGACTTGGATGGGTGGGGGGGGAAATAGTGCTAAAAAGGGTTCGAACCAAAACTGCGCAAGCTGCCCTCTTCCATCCTTTTTTTCTTTCTGGCTACCTCCCAACAAAGGCTGGTGACTTCGGTGTTGGTGGCAAGAGAAAGAGAAAATAATTCTCCCACCCCCAGTTCCCTGTTGAAAACGATAGCCTTCCGAAGGCTTCCCCATCCCTCACTCTCCTCTCCCATCTCTCCACTTGTCTTGGCTTCTCTTTGGCTTCTCTTTCCCCCTTTTGCCCTTTCTCAGTTTCCCCTCCAAATGCATTGTATTATACCCAGGGCTGCAAAATCCTTCACCCTTGACCTGGCAGCAAGAACAGCTAGAAGGGGAGAAATTATTTATAAGGAATCACGATGAAGTGATAAAAGAGAGTGGGTGCTATTTTTAAAAAGAGGCAGGGCTCTTTCTTCCTCGCCATGAAGTCACAACAGAAACTCAGACACCTAGAAGGACAAGGTAAGGGAAAGCTCTACCTGTTGGATAAAGCATTACCTGTTTCATCCCCATGTGTCCGTGGCAGGGAGCCTTCTGGAGACGGAGGTTGTAAAGAACAGAAGTTGTGCCCTCTTCTTGTCGGTTCTTCTCCCACAAGGCACTTCTCTCTCAGAGAAAGCCATCTTTTCTGTGACCTGCCAAGAAGCCAATGGCTACAAGCCACTGGATTTGGCTAGTGTGCGTGGAAAGGAGAGAGAGAGAGAGAGAGAGAAAGAGAAAGAAAGAAAGAAAGAAAGAAAGAAAGAAAGAAAGAAAGAAAGAAAGAAAGAGGGTCTCAGTATCCATTTTTGGGACTTCCTGTTTCTCCTTCATGACCTTGAGCTCAGACAACCCAGGTGATCCATCAGTGGCTCGTAGCCGGCCAATCTTGGCGTCAGATCTCCCTTCGAGCGTCTGCTTTGCAGCGACATGAAAGGTGGCAATTATCTCTGGCTGCCAGTGCTTCTGAAAGATGCCATCAAACGTCGGTGAGGCAGTCGGCAAGGGGTGCAGCCGCTGATGGATGAGAGGCGCAGTGGGGCTGGGGAACCTTGGAGACGCAGGGACGTATTACCTGGCTGGACTGTGTGGGCACATCCAGGGCCAGGGTTTCACCCCATCCCCTCTTGAAATAACAAAATAAACATTTTTTAAAATAAAAAATTAAACAAACTACTTCCATCATGCTGGGGGCGGGAGGCGGGGAAGTAATGGGAAGACTCCTTGGAGGCATCAAAAACCAATCTTGGCTGTATGTGGTGCCCCCTTTACCCACTCCTGCTTGGATGCCACGGGCAGGGGATCCCTCCTGCTTATATTGTCACCTCTGATGCCCCATCCTGGGTTCCTGGCACTGAGGTACCCATGATCAAGTCCCCTCAGGTTCATAGTTGAAATTAGATCTGAGGAATGTCGAGTCCTGCCAGCAAGGGAGACCCGAGCAGTCGGAGAGAATAGAGGAATGAAAGGGGTGGCTGTACCTATTTGGCCGGTATGGATGGTGATGCAGTTCAACTCAGATGAAGCAGAGGCACCAAGTCCTGCTTTGCCTCAGGCAGAAAAATGGTTTGGCTCTGCAGGGCATATCTAGGGGCAATTAAAACAAGGAAGTGAATGCGTGCCTAGAGGATTTGAGGGGGAAAGCTTTCAGACCTAGTACGTATTGATGACACCAGGGTGTTTATTAGGACCTGATCTCATCGATTCTACTTAAGAAGAAACTGGGGCTCCTTCACAGGACCTTCTGAACATCCTGCTGAACGCATATTGACTTTTCCTTCTGTTTGATGTGCCGAACTTTGAACATCTAAAACAAACAAATAAAAACCAATGTATACATTTGGGGTCAGGGACAAAATGTTGGTGTGGGAAGAACTTGTGTTCAGCTGGACAGCTGTGCCCTCTTTTCGAAGACTCTGTTTCCGGTTCTTTTCTCGTCTTTTCCAAGCAACTGGGTCAGTATTCTGTACCTGTTCAGCATTGCTCGGTCCCCATTAAGATGGCCCAACACCGTTCTTGAACTGTCTGATCAATTTGCCCGTGAGTCTGTGAGGTTCCCTAACCCAGCGGTTAACTTGGCTGCTGTGACGCCGGCAGCAGCAGCAGCACAAAAATGGGAAACCTGGTGCCAGTAAGCAGGTAAAGGTCAGTAGAGGTAGGAACTGATTCACTGATAGATTAGGGGAATTATGGAGGCTTGATGGAGCCTCCAGATTCAGGAGCAGACTACCAGTGAATAGATGTTGCTCAGGAAAAGCAGCAGGGGAAGGACTGTGGTAGGCTGTCCAAAGGAGTGGGATGCAGGAGGTTGTGAGTTCTTGGCATGGTCGCTTCTTCACAAGTCCATGCCTCAAACTTTCTTGCAGATGTTTGCCCAGCCTTTTTCCTGTAATATCAGAACGGGGCTTTGACAGGGGAAACCTTCTGTCGCAGCTGATTCTATTGTTTGCCTGTTTTCCCGAGTGATTAATGAAAAATCTATTCCAATGCAAGCAGGCTGTGTTTTTGTGTCTCCTCTCAATTGGAGAAAATCGTTTCTGCCAATTCTTTGGGGCTTTGGATTTGAGATACTCAGGAATTGTCCGGGTGTGTCCCTCCGTCCCTTAATTACCTTTTTCCTCTTGGCCCAGTCACTCTAATTCTCTGCTCCAAGGGGGTCTTCAGTCCAAGCCTTTGTGCATAAAACACTCTTTATTTTCCAGGCTGACTTTTTAATCTTAAATGTGGCATTTAAAACACTCTCATTAATATAATGGAGAGAGAGTTTGGAGGTTCTAGACTTCATGGAGGTGTCCGTGTGTTTGAAACACATGGACACTGTCAGTCAAGGAAAGCTAAATGAAGGTAAAGAACACAAAAGGAAAACCTTAGATGATTCTGGGGAGGGGAAATATTAACAAGGCATTGGTGTGTTGTTTTCAAGCATGGTTTCCAATGTTTTTATCTTATTATCTTATTGCAGATGCATAAGTTGGTTACTTTGGGGAGAAAAGGGCAGGGTTCTTGCACCTACAGTAGCTGTGTGAATAGAGGGGATTTCATAATGCCACATACAAGCTAGATGTCCCTAAATCACTCCCTCTTCTGCTTGGTTGTTAAAGACAGAGGGGCCATGTCCTCTTTTAGTGGTGGCCACTCTTTTGAAGCTATTTTCAATGATCTAGAAAGTCACAGCTGCCACCCGTCTACCCTCTGGTGTGTTTCTATAAAGATGCACAGTGCCATGTGTGAACGTTGGTGAGCAAGCCGTAACCAAGGTGTCTCACAGCGGAATTGTAATTTTTGTTTTTATTAGTTCTGGTATTTGGGAACACAGGAGGCCAATTGTAAGAACGTGTTGGAACTGAAAATCAGATATAGCTTGAGGACTAGGAACTTGGCCTTTTATAACCACCACCACCACCACCACCAGAGTTTCTCTGAAGGCTGGGATTTGTACTCCCTATTTCATTTCACACCTGGCTCTTAAGCCCGGTAGAAAAATAGCAATGAACCATCAATCTGCTTTTTATGGGACTCTCCCCCCTTTTTTTATTTCCCAGGTTTGGGCCGTGTCTAGGAATTCATTAGCATCCGTAATCCCAGGGAGATGGATGCTTGCGTGACTGAGCGGGGAATGGATGGAAGAATGATCCCACGGCGCCAGCAGCAGGACTTGGGATAAATCTCTCAGCATCAGGGACTCGTCCATCCGTTGGTAATTGATGTTTTTCCAGCTGCTTGGGCAGCTCTGTGGTGTGGCTGTTGATATGTGTGCATTTTCCAGAAAATAAATAAATAATCAAATAAATAAATAAATAAACAGATTACTTATTTGATGGCGCTGTGTAGAATTTAAAGCCGAGCCAGTTTTTCCAGAGGAAATTGAGGTATGCAGTGACTTTTTTGTGGCATATAAGCAGGGCAATTGTATGTGGTAGTTCTTGAACTGGTGTTGGGGAAGCGGGAGAAGAAACTGCCACAGAGAAGACTCTTTCTGATCCTCCTTATTTTTACCTTCTCAAATGAGATGTGTCTCAAATGAAATGTTCTTCTGTGCAGGCTTCGGAGCTACAGAGGACTATTGGTGAGACCGAATGACCAAGACAACCTATTTGGATGACAACTTCTAGGATCCCCAGCTGGTTGGGGTGTCTCTGGACATGGCCTGTATTTCCCTCTGGCCCCTTGAGGTATGGTAGAATATACCCTGCATTTAGTAATCCTTCTCCAAAGGAGAGAGGAAAAAAAACAAACCCAGATTATAGAGTGACAGGATTTTTCTTTTGTCCTTCTGTCTTCTAGTAGGGTTTTGAGCATTTTCACACAGTCATGAGGGCTAGAAACTTGTTTCCTCTTGAAAGCAAGATCTTTGTTTAAAATCTGCATTGACTCAATTAAGAGTTTGGAAAAGCTACATTGGAATAACTCAGCTAGCAGGAGCATTGTTAGTTATTTTTAAAATTTGCATAATTATTTACAATTTCTTTAGTTTAGTGAAATCCATAATTGAATATTCTGAATTGGGTTCAGAAAATGTTTGAACCCCCCAAATAGTCATCCCGGTTCAAACTTCCTGTTGTATAGTACCTGTGTTACAGGTAAATGTGCATTATGCTTCAAGTAATTAGGGGCATTCTATACTTGTTCTACTTTTTACGTATTCCTGGTTTTACTCTTGGTGCCTGAAAAGTGTTCTGGGGTTAATTCACCCTGAGATTAAGCTCTGTCATGTTTATTGGTAGGATTATCTTGAGAATTAAAGAGCTGCAGGACCGAAGGGTTTAAAAATGCACCAGTTGCAGGAGGTGAAAGGTCTGGGTCTTATAATGACTACTTTTGCCAAGGATGGAAAATGCTGGAGCTGCACCAGGTGCACAACGTAATTTCTGTTTCAGAAGCCTTGCTGGATCTTACATTTTTGTCCATCTCTGAGCCCAGGGTTCAAGCCTCCTAAAGTGGATTCCATTTTCTCTGCACAAAAATAGATTGTAATCCTTGTTAGAAGAGATGGTCTTTTTTTAGTCATGAGGGCTGGCAGCAGAGAAGGAAGAGATTGAAAGAGAATTTCACATTTGTATGGTAGAAACGTCTGTGTTTGCGTTGGGGACAGGATCCAGCGCTTGAAGTGACAATAACGAGATAAATTGAATTGGGTGGTGGTGAGGATTTACCCAAGTGGAGCAAAAATAAAACATTATTTTAAAAATTGTCCCCGACACTTCATTCTGTCTTGGCTTTGTCCTTATTCCAAACTGGCTTTGTGATGTTAGCAAGTGATTGGCTATGGGTACCTGCCCCTCCCCATGGATCACAATCCTGCTGTGAAAAGTGTCCATGGAGGGGCGTTTGCACAGCTTTCACAATTCACCATCTATCTGTTCCCGACTGTCAGTTGTGCACATAATCATAAAATGCCGTAGACACTGCCCTGCTAACTCATCAGCAGGCACTCTTAACAATGAAATCTTTAAAATCAAGTTTATAAATACTGTAACAGTGTGGGCCTTAAAGCTGCATCCAGATGTAAAACAGAGTAAACAGAAGTTTAAAAGTCAAAGTGAGCTTGTTTTGGTTCTAAAGCTTGTTCTGTCTCCTGGCACAGCTACCCAAGACGTTCCTTCATGGCTGGCATGCTCCTGAACATGTATCAAGTTGTTTTCCTTGGGTTGCGAAGTTACCACTGCCTCACCTCGGCTCACCTGGGAGCTTTAGCCACAGAAATGACTTACATGTCCAGGTGAGAATTTTTCTATATCTTTAGCAGCTCTTCATCAGGCACAGCTTCCAGTCTGGTACATAAGAGGCATGCTTTGTGGGTTGGATTTCCACCTGCCAAACAAGCTCACAGCTTTTGCCAGGCTAGCAAGCTGAACTCTCCTGTACCAACTCCACTGCTGATTTCTTGCTCAGTGCTCAGATTTTTGAATCTCCCTATTTAATAATAGCCCATCTTTCCCCCTTCCTGCTGTACTGCCTCCCTCTGGTTTACTGTACCTGTCTCCATGGCATAATATTAACGGATGGCTGTAATATAGCCGTGCACCACAGATGTTTATGGCTGTTCTGCTAATTGCTTCTGCCTTTAATTGTTCTAGCATGATTGATGGCGATAATGACGCTCCTTGTAAGTGTGTGTGTGTTTGTGTATGTGTGTGTGGTCCTGGTGGGAATAAAGGAGCTACAGGCGGAGATGGCTATTGTTCTTAACTGCAAAAGACAGGAAGATGGTCTTTTAAGAAAGGAAGTCCAAGAAAGTTGGAGGGATGGGGCAGCAGAATCTTCTAAAAACCCTCTCTGTTGAGTTGTGGAGGAAGGGAACGGGATGAGAATTCTGATTCTGTTCAGCTTCCATCAGAATATACCCAAATCCAATATTTTTCAAGTCACACGGAAAATATGTAAGATGGTGGTGTTGGTGCTGCTGCTGATGTTGTTGTCAATTAATTTAAAAGAAATCTGGAGGTGGGGGCGCTTCCAGATTCATTCACGTAGGCCCAAGGATCTTGTTTAATTCTTCAAAGAATGTATAATTCTGTTGTGTTAAAGTTTTCCCCAATTCAGTTTTTTAAAAAGAGGAGCTTTTGGTGGAAGTAAGAGAGCTGATACATCTAATTCGACACTAGCATAAGTTGAACAGAGAATCTGAAATCCCTCCACCAGTTTGGTGCTGGCTTGGATTGTTGTCTCTCTCTCTCTCTCTCTCTTTTTAAATAAAGTGATGATCCAGTTGAATGAGAATCTGGTGCAAATGGAAGAGAATTGGGTTTTGGTTCACTTCTGACGAATGCAACCGAATTTGCAAGTCTCACATCTAGGATAGAAAAAAATTATTATTCTTTTAAATTCAATGTAGAAGAAAGCTACCCCATTCTGGGTGTGTGCAACTTGTGTGCAAATGTCTTAGTGCTTGGATTCCTTCCACGCAGGTGTATGTTTCTTTCGCTAAAGGAGCTTCACAGGTGTAAACTGTGCATGACATGACACCACAGAGAATACAATTAAACATCATTAAGGAGAGACAATTAAGGAAATCATAATATTAAAACACAATTGCAGTTTAAAAACAGAAAAAGAGGATGCGCAAAACTAGCTTAGGAGCTGGCGGTTATCAAATGCCCCCCTGAAACCTGCTTTTCAAAACATCTGAATCTTGCCGTGTCTGAATCATAGATCCATGGAGAACATGACCTACTCTCAGACTTTCTGTAATGCATCAAGTGCTTTTGAGAACCGGTCCTCCCATTAGAAAGAGTGAGGCAAGAAAGAGGATATAATTCTGACAACCACATATCTCAGAGCTTAGCTGCAATATTCTCGGTCTTTGGAGAGGGGTGGTGGACTTCCCTAGCTGCAGTCTATTGTGGTGAACTACCTCAGTAGCCGTTCAAATACTATTGGCTAGTTTGGTCGAGTCAGCAATCAAGATCCATTAGCTTTAAAAAATGCCTGCTGTCCCCAATAGAAGAAGAAATGGCTAGAACCAGTTTATGGAGATGGATCCGTAGAGCTGCCTGCATTCTGGGGTTGTTCTTGGTGGCATGGCAATAGGGGGCCCTCATGACGTGTGCCAGCACTTCCAAATCTACTGGTGTGATACCTATCCTGAAGCAAGTGGATCAAGTGAGACATTGGGAGAAGGGAAGAGGAGGTAGCTCTTCATGCCCGACACATACAGGGACCCTCCTTGGTTTCTTGTGTGCAGCTGCCAAACATGAGAAGCGAGCTGCCGACAAATGCTATAATTAATCCTAATTTACTGGGTAAGTGACTCTCTCTGGGTTTTAGATGCTGATGGACAAAATGGGGCTTCCCCGCCTGCAGATGTTCCACACAACCTGTTATTTACCAAATCAGATTAGCAAGTGGAGGGTCCAGGGGAGGCCAAAGGTGGTTTGTAATGTAGAAGGGCTCTTCCTTGTTCCCTCGCCAATCCCTGGACATTGCCCCGATGTGCTGGTTGTTCTTGCTTCCTACTAGTTTGGCTGAACCCAGCTTTGCTTCTGCATGAAATGTGGCCAGATCTTTGGTCCCCTTTTTCTAGCTCTACCTGGACTGGCCAACCATCTAACTTGCAGACCTTCTGATTTCAACGCCTGTGCCTTGCCCTTGAGCAATAGCCCTTGAAAGAACAGCAGCAAAAGTGTGCTGGGTAGGTATGTTCTCCCCTCAAAGGATGGCACAATCTGGAAACACAGGGACATACCTCTTCCAGGGCAGGCGGGCAATTCTCCCTGCACAAGGGCGGTAGCAATGGATCTGATTTGGGTTTTATTCTGAATTTAACAGGAGCTGTCCAAGGTACGGAACCACATCCTCTGTAAAGTTTGCAGGCTGGCAGTGAAACCTGGAGTGGATTCATTGTCCCCATGGAACGGGAGTCACACCCCTTCCACTGATCGCCTTCACATAGGTGTACCCCTCCCCAGTTGAGTGTTCTATCTCCAGTCACCCAAAAAGCATCTTGCAGGCTTTTCTCTTCCCTCCCCCCTTCTTTTTCTTGCCAGGAAGTTATTAATTTAGCAAGGCTAAATGCCCATTAATCTCCAATATTGGACTTATTTATATGGCAGCTCAAGAGTCAAAATGAAAAGAGAGATAGAGATTTAGTCCAGCGATGCTGTTCTCTTCTCTTCCTTCCCTCCCTCCCCCTCCGGCAACCAATTCTTACCATTTCCTCTATGAAAATTGCTGCTGCCGCTTTTGGTCGGGGACGATTAATTCCTGTGGGAAGGAGGCCAACTTTTTAATTATCTACATCAAAAAGATCCTTTTATAAATAAACGGCCCCGTTATTTACTAGCCAAGCTGCCTTCGATAGCCGCTGGCAGAGATCTGATCTCTCTCGCTTTCTCTCTTTTAACCCCCTTCTCCCTCCATTTTTGAATTAAAAAAAATAGTTTGGAAATGGCAAAACATTTGGAGTTGAGATTTTTAAAAAAACAGAGAAAGAGCTGCTATTCCCTCCTGGCAATAGGCTTCTGATGTTCTCAGCCTGATGTGTGCTTTTAAAAAAAGGGAGGAAAGGAAAAATATCCATAATGCTATGAAACAGTGAAAAACTGATAGCAACTGGGACATGAGAGTGGAAAGGAAAAAAAGGAGGAATGCCTGCAAAGTAGCCAGCAGGAAAGGTAAAGCTTGAGAGTAACTAGTTACAAATAACTTGTTTGTTGCGCAAAAATATAGATCATTTTTTTGCTCAAAAAGCCAGAGTCCTCCAAATCACAACACTGCAAACAGAACAGAAAAAAACAGCAGCTGAAATCCAGTTGTGATTCCCTAGGAGAAATTTTGGGAGTGAATTCTCTTTAAGGTCAGTGTTGAGTTCCGAACGTGAGAAAATGAGACTCCAAAAGGTAACACTGCACACATTTTTGTGAGGTCATAACTACTAGGACTTGGGCTAGTGTTTTTAGTTTTAAAAAAGCCTGAAATTGGGTTGAATAACAATTTAAAAAGTGTCCCAAAATGGCTCCATGACTTGTAGAAAACGTAGGCCAAATGAAACGAAACAGGTTATCCTACGCCACTTTGCAAACTTGACAGGGTGGTCTGTCTCCCTTCAGTCCTACTTGAATGACCTGTTGACCTTGGGAGCTCTCCCTGGTCCTGAAGCCTTTACATTTCAGATCTGCCCTCTTCTGCCGGTCTTTTCTAGTTGTGCCCCCTCTTTCTTTTTTTGACATAAATAATTGACAAGGAAGAGGTCCCCAGTCTCCATATTTTTCTCCTGTGTGTTGAAAAGCAACTGAGGATGGTGGATGTTGTTGTTGTTGTTGTTGTTGAGGACCTCTCAAATGTAAAGCTGGCTGCTAAGTGAAACAATGGGGCAGTACATTTTCTGCATTGTGTCTGCATAAAGGTCTTTTAGAACACACAATATTAGTATTAGCTGTATTTTGACAGAGTTACAAGTGTAATAGATCAGGGGAATGCTAAGGATTGTAATATATCTTGATTTCAGCATGGCTTTGAGCAAGATGCCCTATGATATTCTTATGGCCAAGATGATGGAATATGGTTGAGATAATACTAGCAATAGTCTAGTCTGGGTTGGCATGTCCAGAGAGGAACCCCACAGCAGCTGGCTTGTTATGTCAGAGAGGTTGCTTGCTACCGCTGTTCCCTTTGGTGAGATGTTAAGCTCTAAAATATGGACGAGGGTGGGGAATGAGCAAATATCTTGGTTGGAGCATCCCAGCATGGCCGTGTTGAGTGAGCACGTCTACATTAGAGGTGGACTCAGGAGATCTGGGTTTAAATCTCAGCCTGGCCACGAAATCCACTGGGAGACCTTAGGCATGTCCATCGCTCTGAGCCTGGCCTTACCTGGGAAAGCTGTTATGAGAAAAAACTGGAGGGGGAGGGATTCAGACAAAGATGTTTGGGATGGTTGGTAGCATATTAAAACTTGGCTATGGTGTGAAGTCAGGAAGCGATGTGGAAATAAAGGGAGTATTTTTAAAAAATAAAATCAACTTACTGAGTTATATTTGAATAAGGTGATTTCTCAGGATGCTGCCTTTACTAGAATAACTTGCCCAGCAGGATTCCTGGGCTTTGCTAGGAGGGTTTCAATGAAACGCGCTGGGCAATTTACTATTTGCTTACAGGGACGAAATTGAAAGAGCCAAAAATCTAATCCAAAGAAGGAGCTAAAATCTCATTTGTACAAATGCTAGGTGAAAAGGGGAAAGGAGCTGAGCTTGGCCCGGCCCCTCTGACTCTCTGCATTCA